TCTCTTATCACCCTTGTTAATAGTCCGTATGATAAGTAGAAACGACATTTTTATTCAACCAGCCTTTTATTTACATATGTATATATTTTACGAGTTGATCACGGACTGATATCAGTTAGTGAACCATTGAAAACTAGGGAGTACTGGACAGCTGTTTCATCCTAGTTTGGGAATCATCGGCAGTACGCACCCACTGGGATTCGAACCCAGGACCTTCCGGTTACAAGGCAAGCCACTGGGACCCGATTCAATGGCTCATGAATTCTAACTTCTACCAATTCGTGATTTTAGCGCGACCCCAACTATTGTCGTTGGTGGAAATCCATCCACACGTGACTTCTAATTGGACCTCACAGGTCACGACTTCTCACTAGAACTCCAGAAAGCTCCAAACTGTAGCAAGTCACTAGCGAGCATCAGAATTTTTTTCTACAGTTTGGTTTGTAAGGATTAGTTATGTTTTACGAGTTGATCACGGACTGATATCAGTTAGTGAAACAGCAGCTGTCCAGTACTCCCTGGTTTTCAATGGTTCACTAACTGATATCAGTCCGTGATCAACTCGTAAAACATAACTAATCCTTACAAACCAAACTGTAGAAAAAAATACGTATATATATTCATTTCAATGAAATTTCTGACTGTATCTATTCGGTGAAAACCTAGTATAACACTTAAAAGCTGTTTTCATTATACTTGACTGAAATGTTCAGTCGGCTCCTAGCTCGAGCACTTCGACAGTGAATTCACATGAATATGATTTCGCTTGGTTGGTGATAACAAGCTGCGGAATCGAGGACGGTGGTTTCCTTCTATTTGAGAATTGTATCCCAGTTGCCTATGGAACAGTGGTGTTACGTTTGGAACGACGGTAGTTGAGTTTGAGTCTTGGTGGAAACAAAGTCAATCACTCGAAATTACAAATAACATTTAGGACGAAATGCGAGTCATCAGTTCCACTTCTGGACACTGCCAAACAAACTAATATTACTATTAGTTTTAGAACAAAAAAAGCTTATATCAGCAGAGATAGGTTATCTGTTGTACTCTTGACGCGGATACTACTCTGTCTTAGCCTTTATTCAATGTTTATCACAGGTTATTTAGGTTAATTTCTATATTTCCAGTTGATTGATTATATTGGACCAAAATGCTCGGTCTTCGACGACATATCAGATTCCATCAAGGAGGTTTCGAGGCATCTGAAGACTGGCGTGGTGTTATTTGGCTAGTGGCAGCTAGCAGTGGAGTCTAGGATGAGCATTTCAACCCATTTGGATTTCGTCAACTGGATACCCTTGAATTTCATAGTGAGCCATGGCATTCGCACTGAGACACTTAAGGGTTTGAAATGAAGGTCGCTGGGTACATGTCTCATGGTTGAAAGACTAAGTGTATGGCAGAATTAGTCGTTCGGAAGCATAAACAAGTAAGGAACACACTTCACACTTAATGAAATACGCATTACACAAGATGATTTTCAGTATATCTATCTAATTAGAAAAAAAGAATTGAAAATAATTTTTAGTATTTGACCGGAAGATAGCTATTACTGCTATTTGAAATATATTTCATTTGATTGGCAGCTGAGCTGGCATGGATTATCAACGGAGAATTTTTCCATTAAAATGCAGCTGTTCAGCTTATCCCACTTCATAAAGAAAGCATTAAGGTAAACAAAAGGTGGGCAAATAACACTGTAATGGACGGAATTGTTCGGCAAATAAGAAATGTCAGCGTAGAGGATAATTTAGATTTTGATAGATCCAGGAGATGACAAACAGTGAATGAATGAATCTGGGTTATTGGGTTTTAACCGTACTACCTACAATCTCTGAGCCTGGTTTCTTAACATTTTGGGAGAGCCAGGCATTTAACAGACGAATACTCCATGGACAGATGCCATATTTTCATTTGACCACCACTAACTCTCCTACATCTCGATCTTATTCCAGCTCACACTGCTGCTCGCAAAAGGCAATGCCTTTACATGAGTAACACATATCCTAACCATCTCAGTCAATGCAGCTTAATGTCCTAGTTGATGACTTTGCCTCCTTAATCAATACTGTACGTTTTATCTGAATATCACTCATCATATTGAGCCACCTAACGAGAAAGATAGGGTGCAGATAACTGAAGTCAGTAACCGCTATCCACTTCACATCCTCTACTTTGCAGCGGCTAGGTCTCATCCCCAGAGGAACCCAGTGCAGAATCAGCAGGAGGCATGAACTTAAGATTTTGTAATTCTTTACGTAGTGATGGTTATCAAACGAATTTCCGACTGACAGTAACAGTGAAATGAGAAAAGCCTAGTGAAAGCTTCCTTTTCAAGTTAACATACACCTTTTCTTAAACTGCCTGCGTTAGGTGAACTGATGACCCTATTTAGGGACTGTGTCTCACAATTCAGCTAGCAGAACGCCGGACTGATGTTTGGTTGGTCGGTAGTTCTAATCCTATCGAATTTTACTTCATTCAAAGATGAATTAATGCCACAGTGATGTAGTCATTAAAGATTAGTTATTGATGTGGATTAGTTCGAAGTAAATGCTGAAATTACTGTGGACTAACAGATCTGTCTTTGATTGCATGGAGGATTTCACCATGAGCTGACATCAATTAGAGAACCACTGGAAAACTTGGGAGTACTGGACAGCTGTTTCGTCCTAATTTGGAACTCTTCTGCAGTACGCGCCCACCGACAAAGTTCGAATCCAGGACCTTCTGATAACAAGGCGACCTCGTAGACCATTGAGCTACTTCGACCCGATCCAATGGCCCAGGAATTCTAACTTCTGCCAATGCACGACATAGCGCAACCATTTCGCAATGTCTTCTTCGGTGAGTTACTGACTCATCTTCAACCTGCTGTACTTTAGTGGCTTCCCACTAGAACCCCAGGTCACTGCCTGAATAGGGCGAGTCACTAGTGAGCATCAGATTAATTTTCATGTATTGGTTTTGTAGGGATTTTGTTTGATTGCATGGAGGATTTCATCATGACATCATGGTTCTCTAACTGATGTCAGCTCATGGTGAAATCTTCCATGCAATCAAACAAAATCCCTACAAAAACAATACTTGAAGATCTGTCCTTATTTCTTTTGCTACCGCTTACTAACATTTTAATTAGTAATAATAATAATATCTTTAATTATTTTCAAATCCTATACCTCGCTGAGCTAGGAAAAATGCTGGTGAAGAGGAAAGGTTGGCCATGAGGCTAGCAACCCCATCCTGTAAAAATAAACACTGCTACAGAAACTTCAAGCCACTCGCTTGAAGCCCTATGTTCCACTGGGGAAAGTGAAGAAAAAAATGCGATGTATACAGTTTTCAGTGGAACGTATTGCATAATGTTTTCTCTTCATCCAGAATCTTCAAGTAAAATAATGATTGACTGTTGATTGCGTAACACACTTCTCTGTGACCTGAAGTGCACACCCATCATTTATGACATTTCTTTCTTGTCTCCTTCAAGAAACGCATGGCATTTCGTTCGAAGACGATCAAAAAGTGCACGAGTACATTTTTAAACCAAAGGGCATAAATGAATGATTAAAGGATGCATGCAGTTAGTTTCATTTCCCAGGTAGTGATAGTTCGTAATAAAAATCTTAAGAACAGTTATATCATGTATTGGGATACGCTGCCAACCACAATTATGCATTTTCTCAAGTATAGTAGAAATTTGCAAATCAGCAGGTTTTAAACATTTTAAATACTCGCGGGAGTAAACAATACCATTAGAGGTCATATTTTTTAATAGATTAAAACAAAGCGTACACGAGAAGCTGTAAACAATATAATGATGAAGGCATTTGGTAGTTCAAGTTATAATTCATGAAAAATTCCCATTCGAACAATAATAGACAGAAGACCAGTAGTTCAGCGAAGAGTTTCTCTTCGGCGAATTCATTTTCACAGCTGTACAATCGCAAATATGTATGGTTGTTTTGTATGTGTGTGTACATTAAATTTGTCAAACGAAAATACAATTAGGAAGTTCAGATGAATTGGATGTTGATATAAGAGGGTAGTAATAAAAGTGATGAGTTGTCACAAACGATTGTTAAAGAAGAGTTACGTATAAGGAGTGCGATAATCGAACATCTCGTCAACACTGGTCATTCCATCTCAACAAACGCCTCCTTCAAAGTAATCTACAAAGTGAAGAACAACCTGTCAAAGACAATACGTTTCCGTCTTCTTTGCATCGCAGAAGCCCTAGCCATTCAGTTGGAAGAACCAGAACTATGCATACAAAAGAAAATTATTCAACCACTTCTACTCTCATGGTAACAACTCCGCTGATTTGACTTAACTTTTGTTTGTATGCTTATTTTTCTAACTACTTAAAACCCTTGTGTAATTCTGTATGTTATTTTGTTTCCATGTGCACCCTGAGCACAACTCTTTCATCAAACTATTCACGTTATTACGTAACTCTTCTTTAACAATCGTTTGTGACAACTCATCACTTTTGTTACTACCCTCTTATATCAACATCCAATTCATCTGAACTTACTAATTGTATTTTCGTTTGACAAATTTAATGTACACACACATACAAAACAACCATACATACTTGCGATTGTACAGCTGTGAAAATGAATTCGCCGAAGAGAAACTCTTCGCTGAACTACTGGTCTTCTGTCTATTAATGTTCAAGTTTTAAACAGGCCTCAGAATTCATGTTAAGTTAGATAAAGGAGGGAAAAAAATACCAAAACTACAAATTCTCGGCATCCTCAGATTACAACACGTTATGACAAAATTCTGACATTTCTTTGAAATGTTAGGACAGATAAACAGTCTCGATGATTGTTAAAATGGGTCTTTTTATCAACATAATTTACATAACTTTTACAGCTACTTCAAGTGACACACAAATATCAGTAAAAGAAAAACAATTTTAAAACGAATATTAAATGACAAATACTTGTCACTGCAAACATTAATCAAACTTTTTTTATATTTTTTTATTTGCTTACCTTATCTCTAACAGATTCTGTAAATGTAGCCGGTGAGCCAGTACAATTGATGAGTATTGCTCCAAGCACTAAATTGTCATAAGCAATCTATGAAGTAGAAATGAAGAGCAAAGCAATAATAATGATTGATGGAAATTCTTGTTGAAGTATTTTGAATATCTCTCTCTATTTTTGTTGATAGTGAAATTAACTTAATCAGTTGACTATTTTTGTTACAGTGAGTAGTGACAGAAGTAAAGAGATGGGAATATTGATTAGGCCAGGATTCAAAACAGCAGCCTCTGAATTACTACTGCAACAGTCTACAAGTTGAACTGATAGATCAAATTTCTTACCAAGTCGTCATCAATCACTTCTCTGTAACTACTCTCCCCGTATGAACACATCTGCTGCAGCTCAGATGGGTCTTCCCCAATATATTCTAATCGTACTGAGAATTAGATAGAGAGAAGGTTGTTAATTAATGGTGAAACTAGTAATTGGGAAGCCGCTGGTTCATATCATGCTGGGATCAACATTGCCACTTCACCTTCAGTCATTGTCCACTACATCTGTTTGAATTGACTATGTGACAAGATAAATAGATCAATACACCTATTCTTTTCTGTGATACAATCTCTTGAATAGCTCACTACGATTACGATATCTAAATGTCTATATTACATTTGAGCAGGAATTTGTACTAGCGGCTAAACTTCCAGCAAGTTTACAGTCTAAATATTAATAATAGTGCGTTGCTAATGAATGACTGGACTGCAGAGGAACCTCCTTGCTTTCTATTGAGAAGTCATAAAAGGCTGGGTCAGTAAAATTAGATCTGACGTCAGTTACTGATCAGTAAAATTGGAAGACTGTCCTGAATCGCCAAATTTTTACATTCAAGGAGGTATACATCCCAACACCTAGATATTAATTCTTGATATTAGACTGTTGGAGGCAATCGGCGGAAACCTTTGGACCTAGGTTTCGTTCTAATTAGCACTCATCAGCAGGGCGTATCTGCAACCTTGAAGGAACTCATGTCCCTTCTGAGACTCAAATCGCGTCACCAGTGCTGCAGTCAGAGACGTTACCACTGACCTATTCGGGCTCGTGACTGACCTGCTGTTGGGCTGTATTGGATATTTTGTGTTTCGATTGGACACTAGTCAGTAACTAGTGTAATATGTCTAGTCCTTTGTTCGGTGCAGACTGAATTCTACCAGTCAAGTTTGCAATGTGACCACCATTCTAGGTGGCTCACCATCACGGTCAATCACGGAACCGCATAGCTCAGTGGTAACGTCTCTGACTGCAGCACTCACTGGGTGAAGCGGGTTCGAATCTCAGAAGGGACATGAGTTCCTTCAAGGTTGCAGATACGCCTTGCTGATGAGTGCCAATTCGAGTGAAACCTAGGTCCAAAGGTTTCCGCCGATTGCCTCCAACTATCTAACATCAATAATTCAAAGTTAACCATGATGACGAGCCACCTTAAAATGGTGGCTACATTGCAAACTTGACTGATAGAATCCAGTCTGCACCAGACAAAGGACTAGACACATTACACGAGTTACTAACTAGTGTCCAGTAAAAAGATAATAATTTATTCACTCATGAATCCGACAAATCTGACCTCAGTTCCCAGCTCTGATGTGTGTATATACACTTCTAAACAAAAACAGAATTGGTCGACTATTATTCTTTGAGTTTTAACTTTAGTTTTTAAATATTATCAATTTGTAACAAAATAATCATTTTGAAAACCCTTGCATATCTAATTTTTTTCTATGATCTCATGTTCTCGTAGGGATGACGGGAGTGATTTTCAAGAAGATACTTAGCCCAACGCACAACCTTCTCTATTTTTCCAGCCAAGGAAGTGAAAAGTGAACAAGATCCAAAGTATTTAGTACAAGGAAAAAGATCTGAATTTGCAGCACTAATGTCAAGTCACTTCTTTCACATAGTTCATACACGTCACCAACCACATTTCCAACAGGTTACTGAAGGGATAACCAACAAGGTACTGTGGCAGTGAAATTGGGGGTAAGAATCTGGTGCCTAAGAAACAGTCAAACAGAAATGAAGACGGATTGGAGAGACATTTTGGGAAAATCGCTAAGTGATATCAAGAGGAACGCGAATAGTAACTGTTGAGTTGCGTGTAGGTTCCAGGGTGACATGGAAAATGTTATGTGAGATGGGGCAAACTCAAATATTTCAACAGTCTTGGAGGTATCCGAAATCGCTAACAGGGATCTGACTGCTTTGAAGATGAACTGCTGATGTCCTATGTTCTGCATAAAAGTCAAGAAGTAAAGAATAATGATAGATAAGTTTAAGAACACAGTATTCAGAAAAGAGACTCTTTTCAACGAATTTATTATCCCTCTGTATAATTGCATATGTGTGGTTTGTAAGAAGTTTAATCCTGTGAGGAAATTTAAACAAAGGTGTGTACACTTATAATTATAGTATGACATAAAATTAAAAGGTTTATTATTATAGAAACAGTTAAACATCAGGTGGTAAGATAAATAACGTCATACGCCAAAATATCTCATAGAACGTCTAGATATTGGGAGGGGATGTAAATTTGTAGGATTAGTAGGCGAATAAAAAACGCTACATAACATGATGTTAAACCTGATAAGACACGATTTAACATTGAAAAAGTTATTTTTAGAATGATAGCTGAGACAAGCGAAATAATACCGGAAACATCAGTACACACCTACTGGGGTTCGAACTCAAGAACTTCCGGTTACAAGGCGAGCTCGTAGACCATTCATTCATTGAGACACTATCCGACGGCCTATGGATTCCAACTTCTGCTAATGGACTACAAATAGCACGAAAGGATAGCCAATGTCATAGGCGAGTAAGTGTCCTCTTAATTCAAATGTTAAACAGATACCTGCAGAGTTACACTGGGCGGCTTCTATGGAGTCACAATCCTTCTCTTCACTTATTATATGTGACTACGTATTCTAATCTATTCAATCAGCCTTATCTAGTGGTCATTTTCACTGGAAGAGCTGTTTCATAATAATTCTTGATATGATGTCGTTAAACAAATGGAACAATTTCTACAGGCCTTAGAACAAAATATGATGCATGCACTTAGTAGCCAGGAGAGTGATATTTTGCAAGCATGTGACAATGTTTTTACTACCTAAATTGTAAAACAGGAGAAAGTGTTTGATTAAAAAAGGGCAGTAACTGACATTTGAAACCTGTGAAACGTGACACAGTAAAGTGAAATAAGTACTGTACGACATACATACAGCTTTCACACTTCCAACTAATTATAAAAATTCACTTCTTTGGAATTAATGTTTTAAAGCATTTTATTACCTTCTGATTTATTATGTAATTAGTGTAGGATATACCTTTTAGGATATATATGTAATAATTTAAAATCGAATATCCTAAAATAGGATTGTATACAGACAGCCTTTTACTTGCCTTTTGCCTAACGTACGTGAAGTCGTATTTTTGGCAAGTCAGTTAGACAAACTTAGATATGCTCAAAAGTTGTCCCTCCAAATCAATCAGCAAGACTTTCTTTGCCACAAAACTATAAATGATCTTCGCTAGCTGTAAGTTCTTCTTTAAAAGATAAGCTGCCTCATCTTGGAGCCTGCATATGCTTTTGTCAGTTCACCTGCTCTTGTGGAACAAGGTAAATTGGCCGTAGCCAGAAAACACTTTCCAGTACGGTTCTACACGAGAGGAAGAAAAGGTGTGCAAAGCTCTATTCTAGAATACAATCCACGTCTGTCGCTCCACTAACCTCAACCATGATTTTAAGATATAAATTGCTGAGTTTTGTTCTCCCTATACTTCTAAAGATAGTGGAGGACTTGGCTATTCATGAATTCAAGCTAGGCTTTTGAGTGTAAAAGAAGTGTGCATAGTTCTGTCTTGACCATAGATGGATAAACATTTTTTTATTTTTCATTTAGCTTATTTAGTTTATTTTATTATTTTATTTTATTTTTTTCATTCCGTTCGATCCCCAGCCGACGCATCCCTTTACCTCGCTAAGCCAGAAATAATGCTGGTGAAGAGGAAAGGTTGGCCATGAGGCTAGCAACCCCATCTTGTAAAATAAACACTGCTACAGAAACTTCAAGCCACTAGCTTGAAGCCCTATGTTCCACTGGGGAACGTGAAGAAAAAAATTTAGTTAATCTATGTAGCCTTCCTTCATCATTACGATTATATAATTGTTACTACTATTATTTATAAGTTTGATAATGAGATAGTATTAATTAGAGAACCACTGGAAAACCTGGGAGTACTAGACAACTGTTCCATTCTAGTTTGAGACTGTTCAGCAGTACGCACCCAGTGGGTTCCGGAAGTAAGTCTTTCCGGTTAAAAGGCGAACTTGTAAACCCTCCAGCCACTGAGACCTTTTCCTGATGTCAGGTGGTGATAAAACCTGTAACCACTCAAATCCCTGCAAACTAGCACTTGATAATTACTCTGCCCATCACTGCTGAATGGTCCTATAGAGGACACTACCTGGAGTTCTAATGAGAAGTCGTAACCAGCGAGGTCCACGAAGTCAGGTAAGAGGTCAGTTACTCGCCTATGACACTGGCTGACGATTGCGCTACAAATATCGCGAAATGGCAGAAGCTGGAATCCATAGGCCGTCGGATAGTGTCTCAATGAATGAATGATCTACGAGCTTGCCTTGTAACCAGAAGGTCTTGCGTTCGAACCCCATTAGGTGCGTACTGCTGAGGAGTCTCAAACTAGAATGGAACAGTTGTCCAGTACTTCCAGATCTCTAAGTGACGTCAGCTTGTAATGAAACCTCTAACCAATGAAATCCCTGCTAGCCAACACTTGAAAACACAAAGACTGACAGTAGTAAAGTGGTCTTCCTACAGACCGATACGGATTTAGAAAAATAGTAAAATAGTAGAGATTATTTGTAGATCAGGTGGATGGTATTTTTAATATTTCTGCATTCTCTGAGTTAAATGGTTTCGTCTTTAAGTCTTCATTGTCTTTCGATACAACATTTTCACTGCCAACTTTAGTGTAAAGTGAACGTCTAGAATTCTTCATGATTGATACAACCGTCC